AAAAAAAAAAAATAAGCACATGCCACCATGCCAGGCTAACTTTTAAATTTTGTTTTGAGGAGATGGTGTTTTGTTATGTCGTTTGGGCTTCATTTGATATTTTTATTTTTATTTTTATTTTTTGAGAGAGAGTCTCAAAAGCTATTGCCCTGGGTAGAGTACTGTGGCATCATAGCTCACAGAAACCTCCAACTCTTGGGTTCAGGGGATCCTCTTGCCTCATTTTTCTATTTTTAGTAGAGATGGAGTCTCGTTCTTGCTCAGGCTGGTCTCAAATTCATGAGCTCAAGCAATCCACCTGCCTCGGCCTCCCAGAGTGCTAGGATTCCAGGCATGAGCCACTGTGCCCAGCCTGATTTGATATTTTTAATTAGGCATTTATATATCCTGCATGTGGTCATAAGAATTGTGTTATAATTTGGAATTCCCCCAAAATACCTTAAACATTGCCTAACACCTAGTGAGTATTCGGTGCTTCTTTCCCTAGCTACATTGTTAGTTTCTCTTTATTTTTGAGACAGAGTTTCACTGTGTTGCCCTCAGTAGAGTGCTGTGACGTCACAGCTCACAGCAACCTCAAATTCTTGGGCTTATGCAATTCTCTTGCCTCTGCCTCCCGAGTAGCTGGGACTATAGGTGCCCACCACAATGCCTGGGTATTTTTTGGTTGCAGTTATTGTTGTTTAGCAGGCCCCAGGCTGGGCTCGAACCTGCCAGCTGCAGTGTATGTGGTGAGTTCCCTACTCACTGAGCTATAGGCACCAAGCCTACATTGTTAGTTCCTATAGGGACTGTTAACTTTCTGCAGTGGGATCTGGTACAGTGCTGAGAGGAGTTCAACAAATGTTGTCTGGCTAGATGTCAGGCCCGCTGACCACTTCAAGAAATAGAAGTTGACTTGTGTTGATTCGGCCTTACCTGATTGTGTCGTGTACATCTTTCCCAAGGCTCATTTGCCCCAGTGCTTGTGCAGCTGCACGCCTCACTTTCTTATTCCAGTCATTCCACATCAGCTGGATCAACTTACGTTTCATATCCTATAAAAAGGTGCAGTAATTAGCTATCACTTATTGAGTGTTATTTTGTACTTGACAACTTGTGCTAAGTATTTTTATATCCCTTAATCTCTCAAACAATCCAATGGGGGCAGTTGTTATTACCATTCACAGATAATAAAATGAAGGCTTTGATTAACTTGCCTAAGTTAACCTGGTGAGAGCTGAAACAAGGCTCAAATCTGGGTCTCATCCTTTAATTTAATCTATGATCCTTAACTCATCTCAGTTTGCCTGGGCCTTTCCTGATTTTAGTACTGAAAGTCCTAAGTCCTAGAGAAACCAAGATAGTTGGTCACCCTGTAAGTGTACTTCTCAGAAGGGTAGGGACAAGATTACTACATGATGATTGTGTAATGTGCCCAGGCAGTTATCCCTGATGGAAACATCTCCTTTCTTCCCCCCTCCCCACTTGGTACTTGATATGTTCCTTTAGGATTTAGCTCAAAAATTCTCTTCTAAGGCAGCACTGGGTAGTACTCTGGCCACATACACGGAGGCTCACAGGTCTGAACCTGGCCTGGGCCTGCTAAACCACAATAACAACTGCCACAACAACAACAACAAAAATAGCCGGGCATTGTGGTAGGCACCTGTAGTCCCAGCTACTTGGGAGGCTGAGGCAAGAGAATTGCTTAAACCCAGGAGTTTGAGGTTGCCGTGAGCTGTGACATCATGGCACTCTACTGAGGGCAACGTAGAGAGACTCTGTCTGAAAAAAAAAAAAAGACAGAACTAATCCAGTTGGAAACATCTTCAGGGGTTACTATGCTGATGGCCAGATCTCGTGTTTCCCATGTCAAAATGTGAGTGGAAGGTGTTCACTTCTTATGGGAATGGCAGTGTTCTGGGCCTTTCTGGAGATACCCAGTGTTCATGGGAGGAAGGAAAAGATCTTATTTGGACAGCTGAAGATGACTGGGAAATAATGGGAAAAAGGAGATAGGGTGAAAACCTAAGTGGTGGTCAGGGTTTCCCTAATGCTGTGGTGTCACAGCTCACAGCAACCTCCAACTTCTGGGCTCAGGCGATTCTCTTGCCTCAGCCTCCTAAGTAGCTGGGACTACAGGCACCTGCCACAACGCACAGCTATTTTTTGTTGCAGTTTGTCCGGGGCTGGGTTCAAACCCACCACCCTCGGTATATGGGTCCAGCGCCCTACCCACTGAGCCACAGGCACTGCCCAAGTCCCTAACTTCTTCACAGAACTTTAACCCCTAAGTTCAACCTACACTAATCTCTCTTGGAAAAGTTTTAAGAGAGTACCTTAATTTACTACTTGTTCTTAAATCATTCGTGTATGTTAGTCTTGTTCTTCCAACTATAATGTCAGTTTTTTGAAAGCAGGTACTGTGGATTTTTTTTTTTTTTAATAGAGATGGGGTCTTGTTCTTGCCCAGGTTGGAGTGGGGAATGGAGTGGAGTGCGATAATAGCTCATCACAACCTCGTTCCTTAGACTCCCAAGTAGCTGAGACCAGAGGAACAGGTCATCACACTTGGCTAATTTTCTTACTTTTTCTTGCAGGGTCTCCTAAGTTTTCCAGGATGGTTTTGATCTCCTGGCTTCAAGCAATCCTCCTGCCTCAGCCTTGTGAGTTATTGAAGGGTCTTTATTTTACATATGTGTGCTGAACACTCAGTGACCCAGCAGAGACCTTTGTATAGTTGATTTATTGGGCAGCTTAAATCAGTGCTTGTCAAACTATCTGTAATGAAGGACTAGTTTTGAAGGGAGAAATATGTCATTGGCTGTTACTTTTGTAAAGTCCATTGATGCTGAGGCAATGTCAAATTCCTATAAAAGATCTTTAAACTCCTTTCAGTTTTTGTGCTATTTCATTGAAGCACTAGTTTAAGTCACAGAAAGACATACTGGTATTTGATGATAGTTCTGGGCTAGAACTAAGATATAATAATTTTGGGACAGAGATGTATTTGGTAAGAATAGAATACTTGAGAGCAGCAAAAAGTGGAAGGGAGCCCAGCCCTTCTTACACTTTCTGTCCTGGAAGTAAAGAAAGCAGTTTACCAAGGAGACATTTCCATTGATCCGGGACAGAGCCCGGCAGGCCACAATCCGGTCCTCCCATTGACTGCTGTTCAGCTCCATGGCCAGCATGGCATTTATCAGGTTCTGAGGAGGGAAGACTTATGTAGATAGATTCACAATCACTTTTAGAGATACTGGAACCTTGAAGTTCCATTCTAACATGGCATCCTGCATAATTAACGTCACAGTACATGAGATGCCCCTCCCTAGCAAAGGAAAGGGTGGGTTTACAGGACATATGTCACTTTTCCATTTAAGCCAACCAATCGTAAACCAGGGGGCAAAATACAGATTTAATAATCTGAACAGAGAACTCTTGGGACCCACCCTTTCTGACTTTAACTACTTTTATTCCTAAAATGATTTGCATATGCCTTAATCTTTGTGAGTTTCACATTTCACACCTTGTAAGTTTGTGCAGATTTTCATGGTAAACTTCTAGCAGTAACAAGTTCTATAAGTCACAAATCTCCTTGCATACATAGAGACCCTTAGCAACCTACTTTTCGCATTCAGGTAGCTATTGTAACTTCCCCTATACACCTCTACATTCAGGTTCACTAACATTTAGTTCACTTTTGCCTATGCTGAGATTATCCTACCCAACTGTCTGCATTTTAGATTTCTTGCATGCACAGACCTCAAAGACCCAAATGTTTCCCAAAACTTGGTTGTAATGTACACATACTGTCTTCCCACTGAGATGGCTTAGCAGGATACAAGACCGGTCTTCAGTGTCTTCATTCTTCTTATTAAACAGCTGGTGGAGGATCCTCTTAATCACAGGATACGTGACAGCACCTTCTACAGCTAAACACTGAGCAGCAGCCCAGCTGTCCACGCTGTTACCTGCCACAGTGCAGTGAAAAAAGCAGCTCAGAATGGTGATCTGTTTTCTCCCAAAAAGAACAGCCTTTGGATTGGTATCCCAGGCTGCTTCCTGCCTGATATCTCCCATCCCTGCACCCGCTTTAGTCTAGAATCCAATCCCTTATTTAAGCCATATTTAAATAGATCATATCAAGGTTTTAAATATAAACCTCAACCCGAAAAGTTAAATCTTGCAGGCTCTTGTTAGGCAACAGCCATAAGGCACTTCTGGTCTTGCTGAAGGATGCAGTTGTTTTTCCCCACTGGAGACTAAGATGGTTGGGGTTTTTCTAACACAGAGAAATGAAACTGTTCCATGTCTAGGGTGGCGCCTGTGGCTTGGTCGGTAGGGCACCAGCCTATTGCCTAAGCCCTGGAGTTGGAGGTTGCTGTGAGCTGTGACACCACAGCACTCTACCGAGGGTGATAAAGTAAGACTCTATCTCTACAGAAAAAAAAAAGAAAGAAAGAAACTGTTCCATGTCTGTATGCAGAAGGCCAAACCAGCTAGCCTGTTGTTCCTCTCATCAAGGCAAGGAACAGCACCTCTTAGAGATAGCAATTAGGCACCTGCAGCCTACACCATGATAGCTGTTTTGATTATATGACTCCAATAATGCATGTAGATAATGCGTAGAAGTTAATACGCAGATAGTAAAAGCATGATGTGTTCAGGTGGTGATTTTTTAATTTTCGAAAAGTATTTAATATTGCTTCATCACTTTTTTTTTCTGAGATGGAGTCTCACTACATTGACCTTGGTAGAGTGCTGTGGTATCACAGCTCACAGCAACTCAAATTCTTGGGCTTAAGCGATTTTCTTGCCTCAGCCTCCTGAGTAGCTGGGACTACAGGCACCCACCACAATGTGCAGCTATTTTTTGGTTGCAGTTGTCCTTGTTGTTTAGCAGGCCCAGGCCAGACTCAAACCTGCCACTTTTGGTGTATGTGGCCAGCGCGCTATTCACTGAGCCATAGGTACCCAGCCTTCATCACCTTTTGATTTAAAAAATCAAGTTGTATTTATGTAAAAATGAAGAAGGCATGGTTTCTAATCAAATGCATCTATGAAAAGCTTAGTCCAGGTACCACTTGGTGGCAGTGTACCTATTTTTTTAAAGTGCTTAGGAAGAACTAATTTTTATTATTTTATTATTTTTTTTGAGACAGAGCCTCAAGCTGTCACCCTGGGTAGAGTGCTATGACATCACTGCTCAGAGCAACCTCCAACTCCTGGGTTCAAGCGATTCTCCTGCCTCCGCCTCCTATGTGGGACTATAGGTGCCCACCACAACACCTGGCTATTTTTTGGTTGCAGCCGTCATTGTTGTTTTGGTGGGCCCAGGCTGTATTCGAACCTGCCGGCTCAGGTGTATGCGGCTGGCACCTTAGCCACTTGAGCCACAGGTGCCGAGCCAGGAAGAGCTAATTTTAAATGTACTAGTAGAGGTTAGGCACAGTGACTCATGGCTATAATCCTAGCACCTAGCTATAATCCTAGTCTGAGGTGGGGGATTGCCTGAGCTCAAGACCAGCATGAGCCAGAGCAAGATGTCATCTCTAAAAATAGCTGAGCATTGTGGCGGGCACCTATAGTCCCAGCGACTCAGGAGGCTGAGGCAAAAGAATTGCTTGAGCCCAAGAATTTGAGATTGCTGTGAGCTGTGATGCCATGGCACTCTACCAGGGGCAACGAAGTGAGACTCTGTCTCAAAAACAAAAAATGTACTAATAGAAAGCCAAAGGACTAGGACTGGGAAAGGTGACAATGAGATGTCTCTTTATCCCACATTCCCAGCTCAGAAAGTTGTGGGTAATAACTCACCCTTAAGAAGGACAGTCTGCATGATGTCCTGGGCACGGGGATCATGTGACTGTATGGCATATTGGCATATTGCTGCTGCCATCTGTACATTGGGATTCTTGTCACCAAGAGCAGCCTCCAGGGTTGGCTGTAGAGCCTCTGGCAAGTTCTGGATAAGTGGGATTTTCAAAGTCTCCTTGTCTGTGTCAAAAGAGCCAGATAAGAGTACTAGCCCCTTTGTTTTTCTCTCCCACACAGCTTCCTTCCCACAACCATCTGGTAGCCAACCTCTGTCCTGGCTGCAGATGCTTACTGCAAGGTAAACCAAAGCTCTGTATGTTCAGGGGTTAGAGTGCATTTCTGTGCTGGTATGCCAGTTCCCGGTCTTTTATCATTTGGCTCTAAAGATCTGCTCAGGCTGAAGAAGAATGTTTCTAGCTAGGCTATGGTGACCTTCACCATTAGTTTTGGTAATGAAAATAACCTGTTTGTTCCATGAGGATTTATATTTTTAAGAATAATACCAAATATATTTAGGTAGTGTTTTCACATTCATTATCTCATTCAACCTTCTAACCCTGGTTGAACCAGACAAGGCAGGTATACTACAGACCTCACCAGCGGTCTAAACCAGTCTTTTTAGGTTTAATTAAACATTCAGATTCACAAGACTATCTATCATAGGCAACACAGGGCACCAGAAGGGACAGGAGCAGTTTGTCAACAGGCAGTAGCATCAGGCATTCCTTTTGGCTGGAGCTCTTGAGGCTGTTTGCGTCACATTTCATAGAGCCTTCTAGACAGGTCAGGAGGCTGGAGTTCACTCTGGGTGAACTTGTGCTTTACAGGAACTAGTATCTTATAGATATAACAACTCTACAGATGTAAGTCTAGGGTCCACAAAGGGCATACCTGTTATAAGTTACAGCATTCAGGGAAGCCCAAAGTGTGGTGTCCCTTTCAAGTATTTATATTTCACTTAAGTTCTTCCTAGTCCTAATGTAACTTATCAGTCAGGGTTCATTTTTAATCATAAGCAAAATTATTTATAGTTATTAAATGCATAGAAAGATAGCTCCTATCCTTATTAGGGAAACGGGTGCATATTTAATGTTCAGATTCTTAAGTAGAAGGGGAAAAGGTTTTATTATTCTTCCATAACTATTCTCTATTTTATAGATAAGGAAGTTGAAACTTAGAGAAGTTAGCTGATTTTCCAAGAAGTGGGACAGCTGAGCCTATGACTCAGATTTTAGGATATCTAGTTATCTGTCCTTCTTATTAATGCTGTGGGCCAGTATGCCATCAGAGGTGTCCAACCTTTTTTTTTCCTTCTTTGCTGTACATTGAAAGAAGAGCTGTCTTGGGCTACACATTAAATACACAAACACTAACAAAAGCTGATCAGCAAAAGAGAAAACAGTCCATGCATAATTTTTGTAATCGGGCAC